TGTTGCCTCCCTTGTGGAGTAGCTGCAGTGCTTGTAATATTGCTCGTCCTTTTTCCTCCGCCGGCCCGAACGAATTGCTGTAGCCGCAGTTCCCTCATGAGTGCCTGTTGCAACGCCGCTGGTGGTGGCAGGTGCGTAAGTGGAACTAAAGCCTCTGAAACTAGCAATGCTTCATGTGTGTAGTTGTGGTAGCGGGATGGGTGGTGGGGGTTCTGATAAGTAAACTTTAGGAGGGAGATTTTCTCACAACATGTGAGTTTCTTTTGCAAATAGCTGGTTCTGTTTTGTTGTTATAAGTTATTTGTTTAACGATATGTTGTCAAAGATTATTGCTTTCACATTTAATACACATCTAATTCCTAAAAAAACACGTATTCTAAGAAATTATTTCTTCGTATGAAGGAATGTTGAAAATTATTCTTTTTGTTAAACACAGCTAAAGAATTTCATAGTGACAGTCATTTAATTGGTGGTGATAATGTTGGACGTCTTGCTAATTGCAATGACTGATGTAGTACCAGTGCTTCTGTCAGAGGAGCTGAGTTGGTTGTTGGGTACTGGCGGACTACTGGTTAAGGTAGTAGTGGTTGCAGTGTTGGTGGTAGCGGTAGTTTCGATGTATATTCATGCTGTTTTGATATTGACTGATTTTCGAAGTGGTAGTGGGCTTCATGTCGATGGGTATTTAGTGGTAGTGGAGGATTGGACGTGTGTTTACGGTGGTAGCCCTAGTGATGGATGGTGCTGGTGGAGAGGCTGTTATGGTACTGATGGTTTTCATAGTAAATCGTTATGGATGTCGTGGGATGTATCGTGTTGACAATAATTTTTTTTTATTTTTTGCGATATTTCTTTCGGTAGTGATTCGGTGTCGGTGGTAATGGATGGTGCTGACGGTGTGGCGGTGACGGTAGTGGTGACCATGGCGACGGTGTGGGCGTGGCTTTACGACGTTGTGGCTCCGGCCGCGGCGGCCGCAATGGAATGATGTATGGAGAACGTTTTGTGCCGCGCTGGGGGACCGTAAACATAAAGTTGGGAAATCGGGGGCTGAGATACGAGCTTATTGCGACGCGTTTAATTAATAGCGCGCCCGCGAGTGGCGCTGGCGGCGCCACAGTCGTGTTACCCTTCCCGATTTCGCTGCTGCCCCTGTCTCCATTGCGGTTGCAGTTGGGCATGTATTGTATCCCGCTGCGACTTGTGTTGGCTGGTGGGAGGGTGCTGGAAATTAAGCGACCGACAGTTATTGCTAGATTACCTATTTCGCCGAGTAATCAAACTGCCTCGATATATAGATTTCAGGCAGAATTGTATAAATTGTCAAAAGAGCTTGTGTCTCGTTGTAACTCGAGAGATTTCCTTGCAGTTATTTACTGCAACGCCAGATATGTGAGCTCTTGATTTCAATTCGTGAAACGTCTTTTCGACAATGTTAGGTACCTGAAATGGAGGAAATTTCATTCCATGACGTGTTCAAAACTAAAAAAAATAGGATAGATGGGTCGGCAAACAAAAATGGGGATACATTATTTATTAGAAATATTTATAGTTCTAATTTTTTAAAGTCAAAATTGGATTTTAATTTTTAAAGGGAAAGTTCCGACGCCTAAAGATCTGTTGGCCCGGGACACGTTTCTCTTTTTTAATACTCAGTCGTGATTGTAATCCTGTTTATTTTTTGAAGGAGGTGAAATTTAAATCTTAATAAAATAAACATATGGAGTTATTTTTTCTTCAAAATCATCGAGGCAGATACATTTTCAATAGAAACTTTGGTTTCTGTTATCTTTTCGTGACTTATATTGTTGAAGTGCTAGAATTAACATCAAACTCGCATCTTAAAATATCATACGAATTAAATGGTTTAAATTTAAACTTTGATTGATGACGTTCTTAGCTCTGCAGCACACGCGCTAGTGAAAGTTATTCGAGCAAACGCAGTGACGTCTGAAATGCATCATTACAATATTAGCTTATCTTGCTTCACAAAGTGACCATTCGGTCTTTCAGAAACAGACACACGTTAAACCTAACACCGACACTTACTAACATCGAAATCTTTATGGAACTTTAATGTTTACCAATAACAAGAACAAATATATATATTAAAAAGTTGTATCAGCTGTAAATTGTACTACCCACTCCGTCCTGTGGTATTCTGCGCACCACGCGGTTTCATTGAGATTGTAGTCATGACATTTAGCCTGTTGACACGAACTGGTCGCTATGAGATCTGAGAACAATAATAGAGATGTTCTAAGAAGGACGGTATTCTTAAAAAATTATATTTCACTCTGTCAACGGAAGAACAGTTTTTCATATGAGAGTTCGAGCGGGATTAATGCATTTAGTATATATACGCCTTTCGAGGGAGCGCACAAGACGTGTTTACGCCGAGTGAGGACCGCGCGCGCCAAGGGTCGTGATCGCGTAAGGATTGAGCGTTAGCAGCTCGTGCGGCTCTCTCCGCCCCCCCCCTCACGGCCACGTGGCCGCCTCCCCCTCGCCCGCATCTGCGCTTCTGCGCCCGACTTCCTCCTCCGCCGCGCGAGGCAGCCGCGCGGCGCGTTAAATGGGCCCGAAAATTCCCGGCGGGCGGCGCTGAAAAATTGACGCTTCGCACGCGGAGGTGGGGAGGGGGACGGAGGGGGTCGAAGAATGAAAGGAGGCGGCGCGAAGTGGAACTGCAATGGTGGAGTGAGAGGAACGGGAGAATAGGGACGATGAGGGGATATGTTTGAGGCGGACGAGAACGGGGAACGAGATGCTACAATCAGATGAGGGAGGAAAGGGTGAGAAATGAGAAACAGAAGAAACTGCGAGGGTTTAGGAGGAAAATGGAAGAAATGATCGAGGAGAGAGGAAGGGAAGGAGGGAAAACGATGACTGAAGAATAAGGAGAAGGAAATAAAGAATGGGCCGAGAAAGCGAAGAATGAGTAACGGTGTTGGACTGTGAGAGAAGTAAGAGGACGGGACGTGGTATTAAGGGAGAGGACGATATAAAAGAGAGTAAACTGAAGAGCAAGGAGGAGAAGGAAACAGAGGGGTAGGGCGTTGTACTTTTGCGAAATGTACGATAAGGGGCAGAATAGAATGCATAAGAAGGGACCGCGCTTATAAAGGAGAACGTCGCAAGGCGAGGAGGAGAACAGCATCCCGAGGCGGCAGAGCAGAGGAAGGGCCCAATCTGGAAACGAGACGCCGAAGCCGTTAAGGGGCAGGGAGGGGCGGTACGGCGGGTCGTCGCGGAGCTGGCGGTATAGGCGGACCGAAGAAGTCTCCGAAAGTCGGCCGGAACTTCTTTACATCCCTGGATTATCCGCAAGTTCTAGACACGCGTCAATATCCGAAATGAAAGATGCGCGCCCCAATTTATTGCGCGGCCGAGAAACTTCCAACTCCCGCACGAGTAACCGCCCCCCCCTTCCCCCTGGCAGTCGAGGGAGCGATCGAGCGCGAGAAGGCACTTGTTGTCGGGGAGGGGTAGAAAAAGGGAAGGGGCGGGCGATCGTTCGAAGACTCAAAACGAATTGCTTTCACCGGGAGGCGGGGATCGCTTCGTACTGTTTACAGAGATTGCTCGACTGTCCTCAGTTAATTCCCCATTCGTCGAGGATCTTTAAACGCGGGGCTGGCGCCCGATGCTGAAATTAATGGAGATTTATATTTAATTACAGCGAGTAGTTCTTTTTACAAAGGATGGCGCACCCTTGAGGAAACCTCATTACTCAAGCTTTCATCACTTAATTTCGCCGCGGCGTTCCTGCTTTTACGCTTCCCAAAAGCCCAAGTTTCCTGATAACTCGGAGCCGCATAATAGATTTGCGCGTCCGCCGCGTGGAAAGCAGGTTGCTCTGCCGGCGGCGGAGGGGAGCAGAAGGGGAAACGGTGGTGGGATGGGATTAGGTGGCCTAGTAAAGCCTTTGTGTGGTGCAGCGTGCGTACACCTCCCTTTAATAACTCCCGTGTCTTCAGAGTTATCTCTGAAGTCCTGCTGCAAGATATATTTTCATTGTGTAGAATTTTGCCTGTAGCCTATATTGTAATAGAGTACATAGTATGTAAAAATGGAATAATTCGTACATGCTCTTTTGAGTAAAAATGGTCCCAAAGTTCTTGTTTTTCATATTCTCGAAATCTGGATAATTAAGACTACGATGATGTCATGTAATACTGTATCTACTCCATCCTTTTTTTTCCATCCTATATTTGTTGAAAATATTGGTCATTCTAAATAAACTGAAAAAAAACGCACTGCGGGTTTTTCTATCGTTTATGGATTTGTTCATGCCTTATAATACATGGAAACTCTTAATATCGATATTGCTATATAACCGTACCCCCACATTCTTATGTGGCCTAATTCAATTGAATGTTATAGATTGCAAATAAGAATCGATAAAACTCTGTCTAGAATATTATCTCTTTTAATTTAAATCACAAATGCGTACAATATTTTAGAACTGCATAGTTTATCCGTTACAATACCTATACTTGTGATAATATCTTATTATTGTTATTATATATTCATTATTTTGTTAGCAGTTTATCAAAACATTTAGTGTGATGAAAACCGTGGGGGACAACACTTGTTACAGAATCTATATCTAATTGTCTTATAAATATATTTTTAATTACAAGAATATGAACGTATTACTTGCAAAGCGTAGAATATTACTCGCGAAGAATATGATAACAGTCTCTTCAGAAAGTGGATGGATAGCCAAAGCAGAGAAATCGCAGCGGAAGAATGAAGAGGGGAAAATGCTGACGTAAGCCGGCATTCTTTGCTGACCTCGGCTTATGCACCTGCCGCGCGCGGTAACCCGGAGGAGCCGCCCGGCGTTCGTCAGCTCGTTCCGCCCGGGTGCAGCGGGAGTTGCGCTGGGGACGTCGGAGGCGGCGGCGGCGGCAGCGATGGTTATGTTCATCACGTGACCAAAGGCGAACGCAGTAGCAGCAGCAGCGGCTTCCGATGCCGAAACGGATGAGGCGATGGCGATGGGAGGTGATGGCAGACGCAAGGCTGGAAGCGGACGCCGTGACCGGGCGGGCGGCGCGGGGCTCAGGCCGGCAGGCCTGCTCTTCCGCCTGACCGAGGTGCGGGCGGCGCGGAGGGGGGAGGCGTGGTGCACTGGCGCGATGACTTGCGAGTTCCGCTCCGCTGCGCCCTCTATTTGCATTCGATAAATCAGGGCCCCGCCCCGGACAGCCTAATTGGCTAAACACTGCGCAGGTCGGTGCAGCCTCCGATGAGGAACACGGCTTGCACTGGCGCTTGGCGATACGACGCCAACTGAGAAGGGTTTCCAGCTCCAGCACGAATCACAGGAAGAGATTCATTATGCACACAAGTGCAGAATTAAATTCTGTGATCCCCTAAATTTCATTGGCTACTCCTACACTATATCTTTAATAAATGTTTTGATTATCTAATAAGTAGATGATATCGATAATACACTTATAGGGAGCTGAAGGATGTTGAAGAAACGGCGGAGTGAGTGCCAAGACAGACGGAAGACCCTTGAGGAAACCTAACGGAAGCACGCTTTGTTTACCACAAATTCCACACGCGTTACCCGGGAATCGAACGTGGACCACAACGGCGGAAGCCATTTCGCCACGAGCCTCCCTTCTCCCTCCTCTCCACCATGCTACGTGTACGCGCGTCCTGTCCTTCAGCGGCATCGGTGATGTAACGGATAGCGTATTGGGCTCTCACACCCAAGTTCGGGGAATTAAATCCCACTGTCGCATGTGGTAGATTTGCTGCACGAAAAGATTCTCAGGCCTAAAACAACCTTCAATGAGCTAAATTCAAATCGCCCATTTCGTCGCCCGAGTGATATCCTCTTTCTCTGCTAGACAGCTAAACGAGCGTCTCGAAATTTGCGTGGTCAGGCGGAAGAGCAGGCCTGCTGGCCTGAGTCTCACCTCGTAAAATAAGGCCCAATGGGATAGAGCAGAACCGTCTTCGCCCGAGCGCGTGCACTCTCTCTCTCTCTCTCTCTCTCTCTCTCTCTCTCTCTCGCTCTCGCTCTCTCTCGTCTGGATGAAGGGAGGGCGGGGTCACGCTTCGCTCGCGCGACGCGCCGCCGCCGCCGCTTCGTTTCGCTACTCTTTGCGGCAGGTCGGGCTGCCCGCGCGCGCCGCCTCGGCCGCAGCCTCCGGAACGCACCTCCGTAGCCGCTGGATGAGCGGAAAGACGTGTTCTTGTTTTCATTCGGTTTTATTACTTGCATTACATGCAGCTTTTATTAGAATTATAGATGTAATAGATGAATTATTTGATGGATAAGAAATACTTATATTAGTATGTGGTGTGTCTTTGTTAAGTAAGATAGTTGTATGTAAAACTTCGTTAAGTAAATGAAATAACAAATCGTGCTCTTTGTTTATTTTATACATTATTTGATTGCTGTTTGATCAATTTTTAAAAGTTGTACATAAGAAAGCAGTAAATTACTGTAATTCTCTTACTCATTACTCATTCTCATACTCACTTGTGTCTCTATGTACGCATGTCTGGCATCTAATATAGGACAGGGCGGATTCACACGGTAGGACGGATGTGCATATTGGCACAGTTTATAGGAACGTACATACATTAGTGCTGTTCTGCTTTCGGCCATTTGTCTGAATTTGGCACTTCACTTCCGTACTCGTTGCCATATCACTAAAATACTATTTGCAATCGCTTAAAGGATGCTTAAGAAAAGTGATATATCCCAAAATTAGTAATTTTACAAGATAACAATTTTAACCTGAACGAAGTCGTTTGCATCGCAGCCAGAGACGAAGTGTTTTACACTGTATGCAGGCTACCTGAAGAACTGTCGATATGAAGCTTTGTCTAGTAAAAATACACAATTTTAAAAACATGTTTCTTCACTTAACTAACTCTTCATATATCACTTCTCTTATGCTCGTACGCTCTTTAACAGTGACCTCTTTTTAAGGCGGATACGGTCGGAACCGTATCTAATCCCTTTACTAATTGGATAGATAACAAAACGTGGCTCCACCCTTCTACAATCCATCTACTCGGCGTTGTGTGTTCTGTAATATCAACGATGACGGCACAACGCTGGAGTGAGGGAAATGAACGACAGGTTAAACGGGAGGAAATTATAAGCCAGCACGTAGTCCATTGCGTTCTGGATCGCCCGCAATTCCGAAAATTTATAGCTTGTTTCATTCCGAATAAAGTGACGTTGGTTCTTGGCCAATGCTATCTTATGCAAGGGAAAGCATCAGATAGCCTTCATGATTGTTCCACCTAACCACGGAACACTTAAGTATTTGTTTCAAAATATTCAAGTTACAGACTACAAAGGACAGGTGTCAATAGAATTTAGGCGCCGACCTCTCGCGGCGGAGCAGAGAAGAACGCTGCCCGCCACCACTTCGAGCAGTGCGATCGACTATGGCGTCGCAAAGGCAAAAATTGATACGCCAGTGGTCTGCTTCATGGCAACGATTGCCGGTCTGGGCGAGTGGTATTCTAATGCTTACAGGCTTACGACTTAACACAAAAGGAAATAATTCATGTACTTCAGAATTGGCAAAGATATGGAACACAACGATAAAGTTTTCATGTCCTTTTATTTGTTGCTTGCTGCACTACAAGCAATATTATCTATGCCGGGAGCAAAATGTTTTGAATTCATCAATCATCCACGGTTGCACTTTGATGCTTCCAGAGACACGAAATGTATTAATTGTGCATTCAGGCAAGAAAATAAACTTCAACAGATGTACGCCAACTCGAACGTGGACATAACTTTTGCTACCTTATGAAGAACAAATAGCAGATACTAATAAGCGAACTGGGTTGGCTGCGTGAGCTGATGTGTGTCGACCAACGGAAGCCTGTCAGCAGATACTGCCATTAACGCTCGCGCGCCGAGAGCCACAAATGCCGAGACCTAGCCTTTTTAAATGTAGTGACTTGTGACAGATCACTAGTTGGTTGTGGTTATCCAATCGTAAACCTCAATAACTAAAATTACTCATAACGAAGCTTCCGGTTGGATAACCTCGCCCAGCTGATGATCTGTCACAAGTTACTATATTAAAATCGGACAATAGAAGAAGCTGCCTGATTGGTGTTTTTCAAGAGGATGATATGCGTGCCTTGTGGTGGTCGCGTTTCGCTGCACTCTCGCGGTTCACTGTCGTTCTGCCGCAGTCGATTTCCCTTTCTCCGCTCCATGGGACGCATCCTTGGCGCCGCCTGTCTCGAGCGGCGGTTGTGCCGCGACACAGCGAAACTCCCGACTAGGAAGCTGCGGTGGGAGCGTGTTGAATGGACGCGGCGCCCTGCGTCACGCTTTCTCGC